TTTTAGCACACCTGTCTTTAATTGGGCACTTGATTGGTATGCCTGAACTCGTTAGCTTCCACTGATTGACAAACAGCTAGAGGAAGCAAAGCTGCACTGAAAGTGGTTTTGGGACAGAAGGGGAAATGGCAGAACAAGTGTGGTCTCCTGAGGGATTTGGGGTCAAGTAACAGTTATGGAGGAGGTGGCCACTGTTTGTTGTGACAGAGGAGCTGAATCATTCTTTATTTATTTGCATGAACTTAGCAAGAGACTTAAGAGCTTCTGTTGTACTTTGCTTTTAGCTTTGCAGTACAGCTGTCAAATTTTGTGTTAACCTTATGATTTTGGTAGATCGTGCTCTCTGTGTGCAGTTCTGCTGCAGGAAATGGTTGTGGTGTCTAATTAAGTGCTTTGAGGAAATACTCTTTCTCTGGTAGTCTTTAAATAAATGAATTTCTCTTTGACAGGAATTATCTACTCAAAGTAACTTGTTAGCAAAGGCAACAAGGTGAAAACATAACAAAGCTCTTATGCTACTGTGAATTTGGTTTTATTTTAAAGGTAAACCAATTGATTGGGGTCTAGTATAGCAAGAGGCCAGAGCCACTTCTTCTCTGTCCCTGCTATAATTCTTGACAAATCTTGTGCTCTGTCTTGAAGAGAAATAAGTGTTACAGTGGATAATATCTCCAATAAGAATATAGTTGCAGGAAAATGTAATAAGCAATTCTGACTTGAAGAGCATGATGGGTTCCAAATTATTCTCTTACTTTAAATTATTTCTAAATTAGTTGGTTATCCTTCTCTCCTTGGAGAGAAATAACTGTATTAATAACTTTCATATAATTTTTGCTCTTTCTCAGATAGGCAAATACATTTATATGTATAAAATATACACATAGAATAGGAAACTGAAGTGTGACCAAGGCTATTGCTTCCAGAGGTGCCTGTTAACTACCTCCTGAAACTGAAGCGTGTTGTATTCAAGTATTCTGTGTGCACTGTGCCCTAAAAAAAAATCATCTTGGATGAATTGAGAATAAAAAACCTCAAATGCTTATGGAAGCCTGAAACATTGAGTGAATTGTCTGTGGGATCTGGAGCAGAGAAGAGGCTGAACCTGACTCTGTTCATCTTCTTGCTGACCTGCTTGGACATTTCCTCTTGAGACAAACAAGGTTTTCCATGCCAAATGATTAAAATGAGGAGGAGAGTGGATTCTCTGTTGTGCAGTCGTAAATGAAGTTGTCTTCTGGGGCTGCAATGTTAAGCACAGATCCTCTTTTAAGGGAAGGATGAGTTCTCTCAGCCTAGGTGATGGCTGGGAAGGCTGAGTACCTCGAGAAATGGTGACTATGTCAGTTTGCTGCTTTCCCTCTGTACCTTCTCCCTTGGGCTCTGTTGTGCTGGGAGTGCTCAAAGCCCAGTTCTAGACACTCTGACTTAGGTGGAACAACTTCCTTTACTGGCTTGTGGGGGAACAGCAAGAGTTAATGTGCCTCCCCTGACTGAGTTCTGTGAAGCAATGAGAGGAACATCCAGCACCTTCTTTCCCTGTTTGTCTCGCTCCTGCATCTGTCAGGGCAGGTGCCAAAGTAAACTGGTCAAATCATGGAGTGGTTTGGCTAAAACAGGGACTCAGAGCCCAGCCAAAGAGGCAATTCTGCCCTGGGAAGATTTTGACAATAACAAGGACCCTATCTTTTCTGAGGAGAGGCCTGGAGCTGGAGGGACTGGGCTCTGTGATTCCCCCCCGAATCAGAGGGGTGGCGAGATGGTGGCTCCATGTCACCAAGGCTCTGAATAGGGGCAGCTCTATAGTTTAATTGCAACTTGCCCACATTGAAAACATTTCTTTGGAAGACTTCAGTGGCTTTAGACATGATCTGCTGGATGTCTATTGCTTTACCTTGTGTTTCAAAACTACCTCAATGTATTGCTTAATTACTAAACACTATGGTGGGCCTCAAAATTGGGTTAAAGCACAAAAATAAATCTGACCTGACTTTAAAATGGTTTGTGTCAATCTGTTTTAGAGAAGTTAATCAGGGAAACTGATATTTCTGCTGGCTCTGACAGCTGACTGACTCCATTTTTAGCTAAACTCTGGGGAGTGAGTCATTAGGAGGACCCTACACCTCATGCTCATGCAGCTCCTGGGAAATCAAATGAAATTTACAATTTTCCCTAAAACTGCTACCTGAGTGGCATGGCCTTTTTCAGTGAGAAGATGGTTTGCTACTTATTAGGAGTGCTGCAGCAGCAGTCTGGCCACCACTTGTGCTGGGTGATACTGACTTCCCTCTGTGCAAAGAATTCAAGATTGACTTTCTGATGCTTTCACATTACACAAAAAGCACACTGCAGTTTATCAGCAGTCCTCAGTGGAGATCCACTGGAAGGACTGGCTGTGCAAAAGCACTGAAGCCTTGGAGCAGTGTAAAGAACATGGGTCAGTGCTTGAGACCTCCTGCAATAAATAAAATGTGAAAACAGAATTTTGAGTATGGGGAAGAATACTGGGTTAAAGTAACCCAGGCTTGCTGTGTGTTTTAGATTGGTCATATGACTTGTGTGCGCTACAGTTTCATGTATATACCTGTCATAAAGCAAATCAATTCAATTCCAATCAGTTTCACCCTTAAATAAACCACAGCTTGACCCAAGGAAACATGCACACAACATTAGTTTCTAAAAGAAACTTTCAGGCTTTGAAGAGGTGCTAACGCAAACTTTCCTCCATACCAACAGAAGAGTTAACTAAGAGCAAAGTAAAGAAGCAAAATTCTCATGAATTGAATTTATCTGAGGTTTTAAAATTGGCACAGAGCAGAATGTGAACTGAAAATCTATGGCTTCCTTGGTACGCATATAATGTAAATGAGATATGTGCTTTCCTTGTTTAAGTTGGATTTTCATTTTAAGATTAGGGCAAAAATCTTATTGGACACAAAACATGAATGGGTACAAAGCTATTAAGATTCAGGTGATAAGCATTGTTTAATAGGAAAACTTGCATCAGATTTATACGTGTTTTCTGGTGTTTGATTTAAAAGCTTTGGTAGGCTAAGCACTAGATTTCATTTCTAGGACAAGAACACCTTTCCAATATTTAAAAGACTTGCCTTAAAAACACTTACTGGAAGAGGAGGGCCAGGTATCCAAAACTACCTCTCCTTGTGCAGGAAAGCTTCAGGAGATGAAAGGGAAATCTGGGGTAAGAGAGCACAAAACCTACCCTGCTCTAGCTGGGATTTGCCCCTCAAGGTTCTGCAGAGCCTCCTAAACCTTTAACCTGACAGTTAGTGGAGGAAACTTTCCTGTGAGTATTTTCTTTCCGCTATGTGAATCTAGTGGTGTTATGATCTAAAAGTTTTGAGGCTGGGGCATATATTCTTTGTATGGGACTGGAGCTGTGAATGCTGAAGTAGAGAAATATCAAAGCAAAACATAACTTGGCAAAAGTGGGAAGTTCAAAGCAGAGTTTTGTATGCTCTGTTTCTGTTTTTCCAGGGTTTTGTTGAGGGTTTTGTTCTCTTCCCATAGCTAGACTCCTTGCTACAGAAGGGAGCCCTGCTGTGCTTCTGGTGTCCAAAACTAGATGCAATAGGTAAAATCATCTGTTTCCATGTTGAAACTTGGAGCAGACAAGAAGAGAGCAGAGTGCTCTGTGAGGTGTTTTGGGTCAGGCAGGAAATGAACCTTTCCTATTTTGTCATAGCAAACAGGGTAGATCCACATCTAAGAGGACTTGGCAGATGGTGGAGAAAGGTGCTTGGATGGATTTAAAATGTGATTAAATAGCTCTGGATTGTGTAGGAGTGCTGCTTCAGGCTGGTTTTTCTGGAATTTGGGTGCATATGTCTACTCAGCCTTAAAAAAAGAAAGTAAATCTTTGGTCACAACTTACTTATGACTTGGTGTTCTCTGTAGACTTGCCTTACAACTGCACCTCGAAGTCTGTTGCAGGCAGAAAGATTTCAAAAGAATGGTTTGGGTTGGAAGGGACCTTTAGAGGTCATCTAGTCCAGCCCTCCTGCCGAGAGCAGGGACACCTTCCACTAAACCAGGTTTCTCAAAGCCTTGTCCAAACTGGCCTAAAACGCTTCCAAAGATGGTGCATCTGCAAGTTCTCTGAGCAACCTGTTCCAGTGTCTCACTGGCCTCATATTAAAGAATTTCTCCCTTGTGTCTAATCTGAATGTAGCCTCCTTTATTTTAAAACCTTTACTCCTTGACTTATCACTGCCTTCCCTGGTAAAACATCTCTCTCTATCCACACTGCTCCCCTTTCTGTGTCACCTCCTTTGGTGAAAATTAGAAAGAGCAACCCTACCACTTCAATGCGCCAGGGTGGAGCTGTTTCTCAGAAATTATTTTCAAGTCCTCTAGCCTCAACCCTGAAGTGCTGGAGTCTGTACTAGGCATGGTGTCATTAGAAGAGGCCTCTAATTATACTTTATGGGTAGCTGGTAGATCTTGCAATCCATAGGTTGGTCTCCAGGAAGCCATAGAGGACAAAAGTTAATAATGTAAGACATTACAGAAAACAGAGAATTCAGAAAGATTTTCAAGTAGCTTTTCATTTTTCCCACGGTTTTTGGAATTTTAATTCTTTTGCTTTTCATCCTTAAAGAAGAAAATAAGTCACATAAATTTCCAATGCTTTATTTGATTTTATTTTAGCTTTAAGATACAGGTGTGCATAGATTATAGAATATGCTCCTTGGCACTGAAACATGACAAGAGAAGAACACAGATTAGCAGCTACTAAGGATGCTTTAAAATGTCACCTTTAATTTCTGACCTCAAGGAAGGAACAGGTCAGTTCTTTATTCATGGTGAAGCATAAGGCAGAGAAACCAAGGGAGATTTTCGTGAGTAGATACTCAGTTTCATAGTATGTTGTGTTTTAGGAGTAGATTTCACTTAACAGTTGCATTTTTAGTGGTTTTGAATTTGTGAGAGAACCATCAGAACAATAAAAGGAAATATTCCCCCAACCCACCGTTCTTCTGTTACCCCACCCATGAATGGACTGGGCATTCTTTTGAGTGATCATCTTTCTCCACTACTTTATAAGAGCAAGTCTCCTTGTTGAAAATGCTTTCACATTTCTCTTCATCATAGTCGACTGGTGTCATATAGCTGTGATTGAGAAAAGAAAAAGAGGTGATAAGACCAAGAAATAAGCAGCTTCCACTTCAGGTGGTATCTGCACCTTTGGTATGAAGAGGCTATAATGAGGAGACTTTTGGAGCAGAAAAGGGAAGTTGTAACTTTTCTGATCTACACCCAAAGGATGTTTGTTGTGCTTATTTGCTATTCCAATATCACTGCTTTTTCTCTTCATCCACGGTATGTAACTAATATTGCATGAGTGGTTGGGTATCACTGTGGAAGACATTACAGCCAAGGTACCTTGAGCTGCTTCTCAGAGGAAAGCGAGGTAATGTGTGGCTTTGGGAAGATCTGGACTAGGATCAATAGAAATTTCTGAGTGTTCTCTCTTGAATCAATAACTTCCCTGATGCTGTAGCCCAGAGAAGAATTAAATTCTCTTTTTATTTTAAATCAAGAATTATTTGTTAAATACAACCTCTATTTTTCAGAGGAATTTCTTGCATGTTCAGTGAGGATGGTATTGGATTAATGCATAACTTTGTCATAGGAAGTGAGTGGGAGAAGGATTATTGTTATTTCTCAGGAACTCCTGTGCAAAGGGAAGTGGTTTGTGCTGTATCATGGCAGCAGAGGAAAAACCCCACTGCTGCTCTGAACTCACCTAGTGCAGCAGCGAATTCCAGTCTTGGAACAGGAGCAATCGTTGCAGTCCTCAGTTCTCCAGCGGGAATCAAATTCATGGACCTTTCCTTCCCCATCAAGGCAGCCTGAAAATGCAGTGTATGAGCAGCCTTCAGTGTCAGACCATTGCACTAACTGTTGGATGAACAAAATGGGTGGGATCTTTTCTGGGTTTTTGCATTAACATCCCTATCTGCCAAACACAGGGGTTCACCAAGAGAGCAGGGTGTGCTACTCTAATGCATGGAGAAGAGAGACCTGTGTCTTTCTGTCTCCTGAGGTTCTTAACAGCATGGGGTTTCCTGGTGCAGTTCATCTTCAAGTATGGAATTTGAAGAATCCAGCAGAAAGCCAACTAGACACAGACCTGGCCAGAATTAAAAAAGGCTTTGACTTTCCTATTAACACCATCTCTTGTTGACTCCTCCTTTAAAGCAAGACTACATCTGGTCAAAAAACTTTTCCCAGTCCTCAGCTGCAGGAAGAATGCAAATGTTGGATGTAAAGTTCCTATTCAACAGTCAAAGAATAGACCATAGGCCTCCTAAGTAACTGATCTGGGAAGCAGAATTTTATGCAAACAGAAGAGAGAGTGGTGGGGCTTCTAGGTTGTGTCTTCATCTGTAAATGTTCTTTTCTTTGGCAATGTTAACTCATTTCTTCAAGTAATAGTAACAGCTTTCCCAGGTAAAACTGTATTTTAGACCACTTAGGAGGTTTTTGCATATTGGCATGCATCAACTCCTGTTGTGTCAAAAAAATAGCATGTTTCTCTTTTGGGAACTTTTTTTCCTGCAGCTCCACTCATCTGTAGAGTGACAGACTAGCTGTGTTCAGGAAGGGCAGATACAGATTCAAGGGATGCAGCCATTCTGCTTTTAGGAATTTGTTTTGGGATACAGAAACAAGACATGAGTAAATTGTGTGGAATTTACTGAATACTTGTAAATCTGTTTCCTGTTTTATACTGACAACACACTTACACTTCTCCTTCTCTGATTCCTAGATGTGATTCCATGGTAAAAATATGACTTGCTACTTCATGCAGATGAGTAAACTAAAACTGTGCTACTTCCCTGGAAAAAGATCGTTAGTAATTTGGTCTGTGTGAAGCTCCCCAGATAACTTGGTCTTTTAATAACATATTATATTATGTTGCTCTCCATACCCCATTGCCCTCCCATTTCCCTTTGATTCCTCTCCACTGTTTCCATTTATTTCTAAATTGTGATGAATTGTACAGAATGGACAAATCAAGCAGTGATTCTGATGATGTCTGTCAAGTTGAAGGCAGTTCTTACCTACAACCACACCATTAGACGTCCCTGGCTTGAATGGCATATAGAAACAAGAAGCATCAGACAGTGGCACGCTGATGGCAAGAACAAGAAGGCAGGCCAAGATGGTGTTCTGAACAAGAGAACAGAATTCATATCAATCCTTCAGTAGCTATTAAGATGTCTTGATGATTGATAACAGAGAAATACACAGTGGTTTCAAATTAAAATCCAATTGTCTTTTTCAGTTTAGACACTTTAACACACTTATCAGGAATACAGAACCATTTTGAAGAAGCAGAGGCAGAGCATCACATGGGAGGGGGAAAAATGTCTGTCTTTCCAAGTTGTTAAGATCAAGCATTGACTGCTAGACCCAGCTACTGTTTGTGAAAGATGTGTGTTCTATTCCTTTGCATTACCCATTAAATTTTCTAGTCCTTTTTTTATCTATAGGCTTGGTCATCATTTGCTTTTTCCCACTAATCTCACAGTTGCAAAAACTTCTTTACTGCAGTCTGTAGAACTACAGAATGTTTCACCCTAATATTGAAAGATTAGGAACAAGTGAAATAACTTCAGCTGAAGTTGAACACTCAGGTCTTGGCCCTGTGCCTTACTTGCAGGTGTCACTTACAACCTAGGTAATTCTATATTCTGTGACCTTTGTTAGTGAGATTTTTTTTCTGAAAATTCAGCTGAAGTTTCAATATTAGTTTGAAATGTTTGAAGGGTAAGAGAAGAAAAGTTTATTCCAGGTAGACCAGGAATAAACAATCACATACACATACTGTATGTGTGTCGTTTCAGACAGAATACGACTGGTGACTTATAAAAAGAAGTCACTACTGAGAGATGAGAGGAGGCAAATTTAGTGTTTCATTTTGCAGAAGAGAGGTTAAAACCCACAAACCTGCATCAGATTGACAAAGGAGTAAAAATCAAGATACCTTTTTTTGAGTTCACGGAAGTGTTCAGATATTATCCTGATTTTTCACCCCAAGTTCTTACCTGCCTTTGCCTCTCTTTGACTCTTGCTCTCATAACACAGAATTTATACATTCTTCAAGTTTCATAATGTGCCAAGTACTGAGATAAATCCAACAGAAACTCCTTTAAAATCCATAGCAATATACCATGGTCTTTTACACTACAAGATGTAAGGACTCACCATTCTTGCAGAATTATGAGACTTCCAGAAGGGAGATGGAAAGCTCATCTCCTCAGAGACCTTATATAGAGAGGGAATTTGTGATAACAGCCCTTGAGCAAACTGACCATGCATGTCTAGCACCAATGAAGTTTCTGCAAAATTACTTCATGGGGTGGGCATTAAGATAAGGCAATTACACACAGGAAGAAAGGTTTGTTCTAACAGACACAGGAGAAATAGGTGTGGCTTTTGTGCCACATCAGAGTTGGGAGGCAATTACAGGAAGCAGTTTTGAAGCCTAGAAGGAATATTAGCACTTGCCCTGAGAAAACCATTAGAGACGATGGTTGTCAGTCACAACAAAATTGCATGCTTAGTTTCAACCATCTAGGGTTTAAAACCTGGGTCCTAAATAACCATTTTCTTCCTTCTTCAGCTTTCCATCATGTAGAAGATCCATATGCTCAGGTCCTCTATGAAGAAATAGGCATTACATTTTTTAATTCTTGTAGACAGTGAGAAACTGTTCCTTTTCTGCAGAGGCTGTATATGTCAGGGGCAGACACACTTTCCAAGGACAGTAATTTGATAGCAAAGAGGTCCAGTATGGTCCCCTTTTGCTTAGCTTTCACCTACAAGGTTCAAGTATTTCAAACTTTGTTGCTCTTCTTGGTGATGAAGTTTATCCCTTATTACCAGAGCTGCACAGTTTGCAATACCTGAATTAATTACTCTGACTGCATAATTGTGGTGACTTCTTGTGTGGTTTTGGGAGTAGAGGCAGAACTCCAAGTTGGGTTGGCTACTCCACATCTTCTACTCAAACTCCAGAGTTGAGAGGTAGCTCAGGAAGTCTATGAGAGAAGGCCAGAATTAGTGCAATGCAGGTCACAGTGAGACCACTACTTCCAGTGACATCTCAGCTGGCTTTCAACTCAGAAAGTTGGGTAAATTGGTTTTTCTTCAGTTACTAGACTATCACTCTTCAGGGTGACAGAAAAGAGATGAAGTGCTTGCAGGTGTTTGATAAAGCTGTGACAATCATCCTGTCCATAGTAAGTTAGACTCGGCAGTGCTGATTTACACCCTGCCCTGAAATGGAGGATAACTACCATACCCTTGACTCCTCATCAGTGGAGTGGACATGTCAACCCTGAGAATTTCATTATTGAAATCAACAGTCCACATATCCCCTTTGAATCTCTCAGAAATCTGTATGAAGCCAGTTGAACAGCATTGTGGTTTGGGATACTGTCGGTGTTTCAGACTGTTCATTTTCCAGTTAAAGGGGAGGGGGAAAGGCACAGTAGGACAGTGAAGTATTACACCCTGATCCTAGGCCAAAGCTGCCTTTGGTGCTGGTTCAGTCAAGATGGAGAGAGTTCACAGTATCCCTTCTCACATCCTGCTTCGGTACTGCCTGACCTAATTGATGAACACCTGTGAGATGCCTAAGGATGTGCCCTAGGTTTTCATGCTGGCTCTTTGTAACCTTTAGGTATTGGGAAGTAACAATTTCCTCTAGGCTGACAATACTGTGGCAAGTAGCATAGATACCTCCTGCTCGAGGTATTGGCTCCTCCATGTCCTCAGAGGTGATCTGGAACAAATGTTCCATGATATTTTGGAATAAAAGGACCATGAAATTGCACTGCATTTATTCTGTTAAAATTACTGAGCTATTTAATTTTTTTTTCCTCCTGAGTGTTATGTAGTTAGCATGCAATATTTTGCTTCTCAGGCACCCTGCAGCAGTTCCTGTGTGTGAACAAAAATCAGTAACATGGAAATTTGTGATGCAGGTGTACTGGAGTGAAACTTATGGAATTTGTTACAGCCAAAATTAAAGAAAAGACAACTTTCTCTGTTGATGTTGAGTGACAAAGGATGCGCTTGTTGCTCAACTCTGAAAAACCTAAACTTCTGACCAACATGCTGTATTTTCTTTCTCAACCTTCCAGACTGCCCAGCTGCTCCCAGTGCAGGACCTCCCCTGTTTTCTAGGTGCAAGCTCTGCAAAGAGCTATGCAAGCTGTGGAGGGAACTTGCAAACAGTTTTCTTTGGGCCACAGCAGAGAGTGACCTGCCTAAGCCTGACCAGTGTTAAGGGACAATGAAGAAGCCTTTTTGTGAATTCAGAGGAACCCAACAAAATGCTGTGGTGCTGAAAATACTTACAGCAGCAAACCCTATGAGGATAGTCTGCTCATGTATTAATTATTTGGGTCATTTGTGACCCACATAACATCACATTTCCTCATGTTGTTCATGCACAGGATGATAGGTGCCCTGCGTGGGTGGGGAACAGGTTTGTTTAACAGATGTAACTCTGTTTCTGTGGAACAGAATTTCTGTGGAAATCTTATGTTGGCTTCCCAACTGGTTTACTTCTTACTCAAAACATTGTAAGAATATCATTGCTCACTTCTGCCCACTTCTGCGCCTCCTTTCCACTTATTCTGATGCTGATGGACAGAGTATCCTCTTTCTTCCTAAGGCAGAGAGAAGTCTTGGAGACTTTATTGAAGATTTACCTTGCTATTTTACTCTAGTCCTTCTTCAGCTGGAGTCTCTGGCTACATCTCACTGATAACAACAGAGATAATCCAAGTAATGCAAGATGACCAACTCATTTTTTTCTTGTGTGTTTTAGTGCAAGGCAACCAACAGAGAGAGAAATACAGCATGATTTCAGAGCAGTCATGTTACTAAAACTGCCCAAGAATCCAGTTAATATCTATGGAGAGCTCAAAGCTAGAAGAGGTATGCTAAAATGAAGGCAGTCCAAGAACTTTGTTTCTTAGGCCAGCATTTCAGTACTACTCTCACATTCTTGAGAGGGATCAAGAATGTGAAATTTCTGTGTGGGAGAGTAAGTGCAGGACCCATTACAGCAGTTTGTGTATCTAGTCACTAAACCCAGTATGTTGATTCTCACCACTACTGAGAGGGGAAGGACAAGAGGAAGCATTTCAGCTCACAGATCATAAGTAAACATGATTTTACAAATAAACTCTTCTTGACATTAGACTGACAATGCAATGTATAATGTACATTGGTTTTACTTTATTAAAGTTTGTCACATTTGTGTGTGAGAAAGGATAATTGTGTTAAGGAAAGGTACATGCAAACACTAAAATATACAGTGCACTGTTTACACAAGAACATATTGTAAAGGTAGTAGAAGGAAGTTTTATCTTGGTGGGGACACTTTTCTTAAGTCTGAGGGTCATATATCCACAAATCTCAAAGCCTAGGCCCTCAGATCTCTCCTAGGACAGGAATTATTAAAGAATTGTATAAATTTTATAGCAAGGTACACAGGCAGTGCGAGCAGTTTGTCCCAGGTAACAGATGGCAGAGCAGAAACTTGAGACTTCAATTCAACATGTGAGATCCAAGATTGAGACAATAATATCATTTCTTCTTTGATCTGAACACATCTGCCTTTTCCCATGTGTAGCCAAGTCCCCATCCCCGAGCTGAATTTCAGTTTTAATTCAATGCAGTTTCAGTGGGATGAGAAACACCTGGTTTTTTATCTTGGTGCAAATGCATTTTTAAAACACATGATAATTTCTCAGCTAGCCTGGAAAATCCTGTCAGATCATGATCCCAGGATGAAGGATCAGTGCTAAGCAAGGGACATAGGGACAGACAAAAAGATCTAAAGGGCCAATTGCAAATAGCAGGCCATGCTTGCAACAAGGCAGCCTCCATCTCTGAAGTCTGAGAGGTAGAACTGAGGGAGATGGCCACAGATATTGTACCAGCAAGAACAGAAGTCCAGAGGCACTAAATCAAAATGAATAGGAGTGGCAGATTCAGGAAAAAAGGTATCTCCAGCTCATGGGAAAAGCTAAATATCCTGCACTCCTACCTTCCATCTCAAGATGTGTAGTAAAAAGAAGTTTGAGAAGTCTTCAGTGAACCAGAATAATGACAGAAAAGTTTGTTCCACAAATTAAAAAAAACACAGTGATTCCAAACACAGCTTGTTATCTTGACCCTGCAGCTGATTAAGCAAATGAAAACCATATATGTGTGAAAAAGACTTTTTGTGGAGCCGTGACTTGAGGAGTTAGCTATAGGAAGGATGGCAGGTTGGAGCATTGCTGTAGCTCTGTCCACTAGTGCCTCTGCTTTTGTGGAACTTACATGGTGCAACAGTGGACACTGCTCTGGCCACACTGTCATTGGGAGTGTGCCTGTGCTCCTCCAGGTGGTAGCAAATTATCTGCTCTTTCATCTTGAACACAAGCTGCCCATGCGTGCACAAAAGGAAAGAAGGCTTAACTTCAATTTCATATCAACAGTTATTTAGTCCAGCATCCTTTAGACTTGTTTCCGGGGAAATTCAGTTAATTTTGGGTATATCCCTTCTACACTATAATTCAGCTCTATTTAAAGAGCATGAGCTTTTTTCCATTTTTAAAACCTGTTAACTACTGAGTTCATGAAGACTAAATGCCGTGGTTAGAAGTTATTGCTGCATGTCTCAGAACAGACTGGGATGGGGAGAGCAACCACAGAATTCTTCTGCCAAATCCAACGAATATCTTGGCTTTTGGGACCTCTTCTCTTTTTTCTTTGCTGTTTTCCTCTGTAATGTGTCAAATCCTGCTTCCTGGCATTTCTAGTCCTACACCTTCCTCTCTGATTGAGATGGGCAGGAACTAGAACAGAACACCATGAGAGATTTTGTGACTTGCATCTCTGGCAGGTTTCACCAGAATTCTACTTGGGCTGTTTAGTTTGTATTAACAGTATGCACTATGCAGTGGTGTGAAGAAGTAAGCCCAGAAAACTCTGCTGTAAAACCCCCACAATGTCTTGGAATACTTCTTTAAAGTAATTTATCACTTTCTGAGAGCAAACTGGGGCTAGGAGAATTGCTTTCCCCCTCTTTGACAAAGCAAAAATTAATGGCCACCTGAAAAAGGGTAGAAAATGCAACAAGTTTCATGTAATTTTTTTCACAAAATGACAGCTGGCATTTTATTTTTGAAATCCTTAAAATGTGAAATATGCAGCAGATTAAATACATGTGTTGTATTGCCATGATTCTCTGATCGTATAGGTGTCAACAGGTGGAATTTGAGTGCTATAAAATCTTTAGAATCTGAAACTTGGGCTCACTCTGACAATAATGGGTTGTTTCTAAGAAGCTTTTGTATGGTATAACCTGTAGATATAAAAAAAGGAAAAACTTATTCTCCAGTGTTTTACCAACACAAAAATAGTTCTCATTTGGAGAGGAAGTTCTGATGGGATTTCTGAGGAAGTTACCAAAATTCAACAAGATTTTCTTTAGTCTCATTTCTGTGAAGGATGGAAAACAGAATTGGTACCTCTCTCTTTTTGCCCTACACATTTCATTAATTTTTGGTGGTGCAAAAATAATAAAAAATTCAAAACAGAGGATGAGTGATGTATTAGTCTGTTTTCCTGCAGATGGATAATCTCACGACTGAAAAATCCCAAACCAGTAAAAATTACCTGTGGCAATGTTCTTGAGCAATTCCCAGCTCTGAGCAAGGGAGATTAAAGACTCCTGAGCTTCATTGCTAAATTATTTTTATTTAGAAGGGGAAAAAAAGCAAGTTTCAGTATTGGCATCTACTCTGGTAATAGAAAAACCAATATAATTGCAAATTGAGAGTAAAAAATGTCTTTTAAAACATTTATATGCAGTTTCTGGGTCTCAGTGAAGACAGTTTATTCTCTGGAGCCTATGAGACAAGGCTCTACATTTCCTTGGTCTGGTAAACCCATCATAATTCATTTTCTTTCTTCTCCAGTGTCAGCTCTTGTTTGTGCTGAGCTGTTCAGATCCTGCTTCAAGCACAAGTGGTGGAGGAGGTGCCCTTGCAGTACAAGATGGGCTTCCCCACCCACAGATAACTTCTAGAAGTATGTGCTAATCACACAAATCTGCTGGTTCTTCCCAGAACCATAAAGAATATATTCTCATGAGATTCAAATCCTGTTTTAGATTTCTTTCTTTGGTCATTCAATCACACTTTTACTGGTTCTGCAGCAAATCAAAAATCTTCTTGCACTAAGAAAATCATCTTCATCTGTAAGAAAACTGGCACCCAGATACTACAGAAACTCTTGGGACCTTACAGGTAATAAGGTTCTAATTTAAAAAAATATATACAGGTTGAACAAAGAAAACTAGTAGAATAAAATCCTACTTAATTTAAAAGTTAAACATCTATAAATCACTTAAAATACAACGTCTTAACAACTAATATTAAGTACATGAATATGACCTTTTGATAGAAATGAGGAACTCTATCTGATTATGCATCTGATAAGCTGAATTACAACACTTAGGAGATCAGAAGGCAGCTACTGAAGTGCTATCTTTTATGAGATTTTCCCATGTCATCGTGCTTCTCTGTGATGGCAAAGCATCTGTAGGAAGCAGAGGAATTCCACAATGCAGAGAGGTTTGGAGCAGGGGTTAGCCCACAAGAGAAGCAGCAGAACATGGCTGTGAGGAGTTGTCCCTCTGCAGGATATCATAGCGACAGCGCTTCTTGTCAAAAACAAATTTACAGTTCTTTCGGTCATAAGAAACAGGAGTTAAATAGCTGTCAGAGGCAAAGAGAAAGCAAATGTTAACTTGAGAGCAATAAAAGATTCAATACATCAGTGTTTATAGCTTGAACTACTGCTGAGTGAGACAGGTCAAACTATGGCTAAGGGCAGCTGAGCTTGCAGAGTACCACACAGCTGCAGCTTCCAGAGCCTCAAATGATGCCCTGTGCACTGCACTGTGAAGATGTTCCAGGATGCTCAGCACATGCAAAGACACTTCTAGCACAGCACTCTGCAGTGACATAAGCATGGGCTTGGCATCTTTTCTTTTTCTGTTTAATTTTTCATTATTTCCACTTTGCATAGGATATGGTGGCTGCTCCCTGATGGACTGGGCCACCTGAATAAAGACACAGATCATCATCAAGGTATTTTAGGCTTTTGAGAAAGCAGGAGAAGGAAAGGAGAAGGCTGGAGAAATACTTCAGAGCAGAGCTTTGTCATTCTCGTTTAGCATGTTCACTGGAGAAAAGCACTTCAGGAAAGGGATTCAGATCACCAGAAGCTCTATAGGGAAATCTCACTTAAGTCACCTACCCCCACTTTCTCAATAACTGCAGTGAAAGAGGGGTTCACAAGTTCCTTAAAAATTAAAGGCAAGCACCAACTGGATGTGCCTGGAAAGGCTTGTGTCCACTCCCAGTCAGCAGAAAATGAGGAAAGGCAAACACAGCTAAGGGTGCAAACAATTGAGAGCTGTATGTGGTTTTCACTAGCTCTGTGACTTGGGTGAGAAAAGGCTGCCTTGTGCCCTTACAAACCCATTTATCCCCAGCAATGGAAAGCTGTGGTCATCCTACAGGAAATGATGGTACCAAAAAATTCAAACTTACATGGAACAGCATTGCATTCCACCTTGCCGGCAGTCGCATTTATAGCAATCTTCTGTCCTCTCAATGTGTCCAAAGGGATACAGTTTTCCATTCATTATGCAGCCTGCATAAGACAGAAGCAATATCAAACAGGTTCTTTAAGCCTCCACCTAAACACAGAAGAGTTAAAAAAATATTTCAGCTATTCTGAAAATGGAATTCCAGGTAATAGTAAAGTACAAGGAATTGGGTTTTACTCTTTCAACTCCTGAATGGGCTCCATGTGCTGGAATAGCAGTAGCAAGCTACCACCAGTTGCAGTAATATTGCTGCAACCACACACAGCCCAGGGGAACACTTTGTTTTTCCCCTGCTTTTAGCATCATGCTGCTGGAGGCCCCTGCTTGTGTTTTTCCAATGTCGTCCCCCTCCCTTTTATTTTGAGCCCTTCCTGGCAGTTCCACAGAGAGCCAAGTTACCACAGAGCAATCAGGTCAGAGGATCGTCCTTGTTTCTACCTCTGTAGGGCCTGCCTGGAACCTGAAGTTCCACAAAGCAGTATGCATCACCCAGGGTCACCAGGCTGCCAACTGCAACAAGGAAAGCCAGAAAGCTCTTCTGTAGAGAGAAAGAAGCAAATGGTAATTTCTCCCCTGTTTATGAATGAGCATATATTATAGAAACTGCTGCCTATTCTGTAGAACCTATGCCATTCATGAGATGCTCATCCAAGGTACTTCTTGAGATGTCTGTACCTTTGGGATTACGTGAGCACAAATCACAGGAGAATCAGGCCATAGGACTTTGATGGTCTATTTATCATTACCTAACTGTTGATTTAGATTCTGCAAACACCTTTGGAGGCTTGAAGAGCTGGAACAGGACACAATTTGGGGGATCAAAATGAAGAACAGAAAAAATACACAGACAAAATATACACACTCTTTTTCTTTGCAAAAGGACAATACTTTAGAGACTGTGCTTCACATTTATAAGTTTTAAAAGCACGGTCCTGAATGTTTGTAAAACTCTGAATGGTTTCACAAACATTTCTGAGGAGAGGATAACAGCAAGGAAAGACTGTACAGCTTCTTGCAAAGAATTCCAATGCAAAGAGCAAAATTCGCAGTAATCTTCCAAGAGGTGCCTTCCTGTCTTTGCATCTAACAGGTTTGAAATGCAATCTAGCCACATTTAAAATGTGTAACTAGATGGTTCTCTTAAATGCTCTCCTTTTGCAGTTTTAAAGCAAATACCTATCTGTATCCCCATTACAAAAACACCCAAACCAATCTAAACCTTTGACTTACCATTGTGGAATGCTTGGCTTCCAAAGAGCTCTAGGTTTCCTGAGAAAGCTGAAGTTCTTTATGTGGAATCAGAGAGCAAATATTTTATGCTGCCTTTATGTTGTGCAGTTCAAGTCTAGGTGGAGGGGGAAAAGCCTGCTCCATGCAAATGCAGTTATTTTGTAATATCCAAAGAAATCGCTGAAATTTTTCCAGCTGGCAATGAGAAAATGTTTGGTTTTGTAGAGCACCGACCTGGGTAAATTGCTGACTCCAGAACTTTGTATTCCTCGGAAGAATTATATCAGAAAAATGCCTTTCTGATGGCAAACAAATATTGATAGCTAAGCTGTAGACAGCGTTATCCAGCTAGGTGATTTTTAGGTGGAGCAGAAATGCATGCCAAATCCTGCCTGCCATCAGAGGGCTGGAACATGCTGAGTGGTGTCTTAGGTGTTAATAGCAAATGGAGCTTCTGCCAGATCTTTGCTTTCTCTCTGTGAGTGCTGTGGTGTGCACTGAAAGATAACAAAGGTGCTTGGCCTCTACCAGGATCAAAACCTCTGAACACTGAGACCTTAGCTGAAGCTGGATCCCATTACAGGAGCTCTCTTTCTTCTCCACCAAAATAAGTTATAAGGTAATAATCTAATTTTCATATATTTTAGAAAAATATTTTCTCACCTTACTTGTGAGGCTTTTCTAGGGAAAATATTTGGAATTCTGAAATACTTCAATGTTAGATGGCACCGTTGCAGCCTACAACAAGCTGGATATTAATCTTGATGTCTGCATTTTACAGTGCTTCACACTAAAAAGTAATCTCTCAGGATAATCCAAGTTTTGTTATTCATTATATTCTTTATGTATGCAAATAAAATTTTAATTGAGTCATAAATTCTGAAAACCATATTTTCTCAAGAGGCAGTTCTCAGAGCTACTTAGGTAGAAGACTTTGATCTCCATGCTCAAAATACAACCTCTCTTAGAAGCTGTGGCTTTTTTTCTCTAAGCAAGAACATTCCTTCAGGTGCATCAGCTGAGGCTGTGTTCTGTGTAATTTTGACATGAAGTAGCATAAAAACAGAAAAGTCATTTGGGACAAATTTCAAAACTGTTCCTCTCCTGCAGAACGCAAAAACCTTTTGGGCAAAACTTACTTTAGAATGTTAAGCAACATGCAAATGTTTGTTTTCACATGCTCCATTTAGAGGAATGATGGGATGGAATCAGTGAATGGGAGTCAAAATTTTAAGAAGGCAAATGTGAATGTCTATACTGGAAAAAGCTGAGCTGACTCTTTAGTCTGGCCTCTCACATTTTTCATCTTTACAGGAACCAGCTGTACAGAAACAAAGAGCTATGCAAGCTGATATCCAGCCTGCAGCACAGAGAACTTTAAAAGGTGAGGTATGTAATACCAGTGCCTGCAAAATACTTGGATTTTTTCCCCAAACCAAGGTATGTTGCTTTCAGGTCTTAGAAACTTTAAAAAAATGTTCATAAGCAAATGACCAAAGCCAGACAAGATACACCCCATTAAACCTTTCTGATTCTAATAATGGCTCACAGAGATAGATTGTCTTGTGATTGATTGTCTTATGAAGGAAATACCCCTGCTGGAAAAATGTAGATTGACTCTTGATTTGGGGAATGCTCAGCTGTGTGTAACCTCATACTATTACAAGACAGCAGATTTGTTGTGATCATGGAATTTCACTAAACAATCCACTTGTTTTGGAAGGTGTGTTTCTTTTCAAACCATGGAACAGCTAACTACAGACTGTTGTGGCTTTTTAATATCCAATTCTGAAGTGGAGACCTCCATGTAGAGCATTTAACAGGGTGTTGCTGTCTGGTCTGATATATGTGGGCAGATTTAGGACCCTAGGCATTGCCAGGTGGGAGATCTGATTTCCAAGCCCTGCTTTGAAGCTGAGCTTCATTCCCCTGTGAATGTGGAGAATTGTTGTGTTGAAGAGACAGGAGGCATCTGCATTGTTAGTAGCTCAAGCTCTGCTGCCATAAGGAAGCACGTCTCCAGGGGCTGACCTAGATCTCTTTTTCAAAGTGGACAAGAACCACAAAAGCAGCACAGTGGGTTCAGACTTTCGGGATCAGGGCTTGGCAGAGGACAAGTCAGAGTACCAGAGTTTAAAGTTTAACATTGCTTTAAACCACAGGTGTTGGCAGAGTGGGCAAAGGACATGAAGAGTCGCTGCCAGTGTTGGGTGATGACATTGATGAAAATAAGGGAAAAAATGGGAGAAAGGGGATGATGATCTCTCATCCTCACTTTCCTGAGGTGTTAGCAGCACAGGTCTTACCAAAAGTCTGTGCACGATGAATAAGAGCCATGGTAGAGCATGTCTCAAATAGTGCATCACTTCCAAATGATAATGGATTTTGGCACCTGGCTAAAAGAGAACCTGGAAAGCATGAGAGTGGCTTGTGCCAGGGTAATGGTGCACAGCATGTCAGAGTAGAGAGCCAAATGCATTTCTTTGTCAAAGAAGGTGGCATTTCCCTATGTCACTGCAAAAAACAAAACATCAATATGAAGCATTTATGGATGTTTCATCTCAGTATATTGTAGCCAATAAATGCAGTAATGACAGAAATGAGGCACTGTATCTGATTATGCATCTGATAAGCTGAATTACAACACTTAGGAGGCAGCTACTGAAGTGCTCTCTTATGAGATTTTCCTGTGTCATCGTGCTTCTCTGTGATGGCAAAGCATCTGTAGGAAGCAGAGGAATTCCACAATGCAGAGAGGTTTGGAGCAGGGGTTAGCCCACACGAGAATAGACAGGACACATCTTTGAGGGGTCGTTCTTCTGCACCACATCATAGTCACAGCGCTTCTTGTTGAAGACAACTTTACATTTCTTTTTGTCATAAGCAACAGGAACATGAAAGCTGTCAGAGGCAAAGAGAGAGCAAATGTTAGCTTGAGAGCAATAAAAGATTCAATACATCAGTGTTTATAGCTTGAACTACTGCTGAGTGAGACAGGTCAAACTATGGCTAAGGGCAGCTGAGCTTGCAGAGTACAACACAGCTGCAGCTTCCAGAGCCTCAAATGATGCCCTGTGCACTGCACTGTGAAGATGTTCCAGGATGCTCAGCACATGCAAAGACACTTCTAGCACAGCACTCTGCAGTGACATAAGCATGGGCTTGGCATCTTTTCTTTTTTTTCCATTAATTTTTCATTATTTCCAGATTGCATAGAATGTGGTGGCTGCTCCCTGATGGACTGTGCCACCTGAATAAAGACACAGATCATCATCAAGGTATTTTAGGCTTTTGAGAAAGCAGGAGAAGGAAAGGAGAAGGCTGGAGAAATACTTCAGAGCAGAGCTTTGTCATTCTCGTTTAGCATATTCACTGGAGAAAAGCACTTCAGGAAAGGGATTCAGATCACCAGAAGCTCTATAGGGAAACTTCATTTAAGTCACCTACCCCCACTTTCTCAGCTAATGAAAGACAACTGCAGTGAAAGAGGGGTTCACAAGTTCCTTAAAAATTAAAGGCAAGCACCAACTGGATGTGCCTGGAAAGGCTTGTGTCCACTCCCAGTCAGCAGAAAATGAGGAAAGGCAAACACAGCTAAGGGTGCAAACAATTGAGAGCTGTATGTGGTTTTCACTAGCTCTGTGACCTGGGTGAGAAAAGGCTGCCTTGTGCCCTTACAAACCCATTTATCCCCAGCAATGGAAAGCTGTGGTCATCCTACAGGCAATGATGGTACCAAGAATTTCAAACTTACAGGGAACAGCATCGCATTCCACCTTCGTCACAGTCGCATTTGTGGCAATCTTCTGTCTTCTCAATGTGTCCAAAGGGATACAGTTTTCCATTCAATATACAGCCTGCATAAGACAGAAGCAATATCGAACAGGTTCTTTAAGCCCTCACCTAAAGGAGGTGTCAACTCCTGAATGGGCTCCATGTGCTGGAATAGCAGTAGCAAGCTACCAGCAGTTGCAGTAATATTGCTGCAACCACACACAGCCCAGGGGAACATTTTGTTTTTCCCCTGCTTTTAGCATCTTGCTGCTGGAGTCCCCTGCTTGTGTTTTTCCAATGTCGTCCCCCTCCCTTTTATTTTGAGCCCTTCCTGGCAGTTCCACAGAGAGCCAAGTTACCACAGAGCAATCAGGTCAGAGGATCTTCCTTGTTCTTACCATCTTTGGCCTCCCCTGGCTTGTGCATTTTCCTCCAGCAGTAGGCATCACCCAGCGTCACTATGATGCCCATTGCAACAAGGTAGGCCAGAAAGCTCTTCTGTAATAGAAACACAGAGGTCATGCCATGCATTTTAATCTGCATTGATTATCTCTGTTTTCAAAAGCTGTCACTGAACCTGAATCAAAATTAGAAATAATCTTAAGTCTATATGAAAATAGCAGAAAAGTACACTCCAGATATTTCCCTGCATTTTTCATTTAGGTGGGAAGATACAAAATGGCATGATATAACCGTGTCAGCAGCATCACTTCCTGCCAAAATACAGTCTCTAAAAATCACACAAAACTTCAATAGTATTATAAACTTGAAAGCCCTGCCAAGCTCTTGTCAGTGCTTTATTTATTGCCTTTGAGTCAGCTTTAGCTCTTTCTCTAGAAAATCTTTGTTGAGCATCCCATTGCTTCACTTCTGGGTACAGCAATTGCTTCACATTTTGCAATGGAGAGGAGATCTCAGATCTAAATCTATTCCAGTAGTTTTTTTGACACAGGTGGCTGGTCATGGAAGAGAGAGATGAATGTGTGTCTTTGGGCAAAATTTGAGTGCTGTACATTGTACTTAGCATCACCTGAGCCATCTTGTCAAACCACGCAGACACAGGTTGGGACTCGACACAGGACACACCTCCTTTTCTCTCGGGGGGGCAACAGCTAGGCATCTAAAGAGGCTTTCAGGTATGTCCCCTGGGACCTGATGAACATCCAGAACTTTTTTTGAAAAAGTCTGCATGACTTTGCAATGATTGTTTTACTGGAGCAGAGGGACTAGAGAAGCAGGAGAGAGCACAGATTTATTTTGATGGGTTGCTTCAGCTGAATAACGTAAAGGAAAAGTTTCGGAATAGCCAGAGACTGAGAAGCAATGGAGGAAGTTATTTAATTTTTCTTGATAGCACTTGCAGACTAACAGGAAAGGATTGGAAATGAGTAGAGCTTTCCAAGTTTTCCAAGAACTTCCAAAGTTCAGTAGTTTGCAAAGTTCTGAACTTTGGAAGATATTGCTGAGACTGTTGCTGCTTGAAACAGGGTTTAAAGTAGCAGTGAGATATTTGGCTTACTTGAATCACAATGTCATAAGACATTAAAAGGTTCTGAGCCTCAGGGAGGAGGTGAGCCAATGAGAAACTCCTCTGTCTGCTGTGGAAAAAACTTGATATTTTAATCCTTGATTTCCTCCTTTATTATGGGACAGACATTTAAAGTATAGTGAAAGCAAGAAAGAGGAGGTTTTATGGAGTGGTCTGGGAAGGAGGAAATGCTTCATTTTAATTGTGGTTCTGTGATGTGGAGTTCCTGAGGCTTTAGGCTAGAAGAGAGACAGCTATCATGCTGAGCACCATAGCCAGAATGAAAGAAGATAAAGGGAAAGACTGAAACTCCTAAAGTGTGCTATTCCATGGTGCCTGAGTTAGGTGTTTGCAACAACACAGATACTCCATGCCATGTCACTCATGTCTTTATAGAAAATACAAAAATCCTTCATGTATTGTGCTGTCTTCTGATAATATTTCATCTTTTTTTTCCCTCTAGTATTTTCCTTATCATGCTACTCCCGGAACTGCCAGTCACATGAGCTCAGGCATGGTCATCTCGCTAAAGATCAAAATTTAAGACCTTCCACTGAAACTAAAGACAAACATAAGGGGAAGTCTCTGGTGTTCAATCAGGTGTCTGAATGTGCTTTATGCTGAAACAAGCAAGTGATTTGTCAGCGAAGTTACAGAAACTTGGCAATAAAGCTTAAACACAGAAAGAAGCAAATGGTAATTTCTCCCCTGTTTATGAATGAGCATATATTATAGAAACTGCTGCCTATTCTGTAGAACCTATGCCATTCATGAGATGCTCATCCAAGGTACTTCTTGATGTCTGTACCTTTGGGATTACGTGAGCACAAATCACAGGAGAATCAGGCCATAGGACTTTGATGGTCTATTTATCATTACCTAACTGTTGATTTAGATTCTGCAAACACCTTTGGAGGCTTGAAGAGCTGGAACAGGACACAATTTGGGGGATCAAAATGAAGAACAGAAAAAATACACAGACAAAATATACACACTCTTTTTCTTTGCAAAAGGACAATTCTTTAGAGACTGTGCTTCACATTTATAAGTTTTAAAAGCACGGTCCTGAATGTTTGCAAAACTCTGAATGGTTTCACAAACATTTCTGAGGAGAGGATAACAGCAAGGAAAGACTGTACAGCTTCTTGCAAAGAATTCCAATGCAAAGAGCAAAATTCGCAGTAATCTTCCAAGAGGTGCCTTCCTGTCTTTGCATCTAACAGGTTTGAAATGCAATCTAGCCACATTTAAAATGTGTAACTAGATGGTTCTCTTAAATGCTCTCCTTTTGCAGTTTTAAAGCAAATACCTATCTGTATCCCCATTACAAAAACACCCAAACCAATCTAAACCTTTGACTTACCATTGTGGAATGCTTGGCTTCCAAAGAGCTCTAGGTTTCCTGAGAAAGCTGAAGTTCTTTATGTGGAATCAGAGAGCAAATATTTTATGCTGCCTTTATATTGTGCAGTTCAAGCCTAGGTGGAGGGGGAAAAGCCTGCTCCATGCAAATGCAGTTATTTTGTAATATCCAAAGAAATCACTGAAATTTTTCCAGCTGGCAATGAGAAAATGTTTGGTTTTGTAGAGCACCGACCTGGGTAAATTGCTGACTCCAGAACTTTGTATTCCTTGGAAGAATTATATTAGAAAAATGCCTTTCTGATGGCAAACAAATATTGATAGCTAAGCTGTAGATAGCGTTATCCAACTAGGTGATTTTTAGGTGGAGCAGAAATGCATGCCAAATCCTGCCTGCCATCAGAGGGCTGGAACATGCTGAGTGGTGTCTTAGGTGTTAATAGCAAATGGAGCTTCTGCCAGATCTTTGCTTTCTCTCTGTGAGTGCTGTGGTGTGCACTGAAAGATAACAAAGGTGCTTGGCCTCTACCAGGATCAAAACCTCTGAACACTGAGACCTTAGCTGAAGCTGGATCCCATTACAGGAGCTCTCTTTCTTCTCCAACAAAATGAAAAATTCCTCTCAAATCAAAACCCTGCTGTTACTCCTGTGGAACTGTTCTGGCTCTGACCTGAATAAATGCAGTAGAGTATCGGATCACTTTTAAATGCACAGGTTCCCAAGAAGTGATAAACTTCAGATTGCTAATCAAGTACTCTGCTTTCTCTTGTTCCTACAACCTCTTTTCAGAAAGAACTATCCACCTCTGGCCCTACCTACATTTAAAATACTTCATTACAGATGCTGCCAAGCAATTTGAAACTCATTCCTGTGGGAGACTTATCGGCTACAGGAAATTTAGCCTATGGTTATAAAGTTTAGAGACTGAAAAAAGAAGCTGAATCATTTGGGACTTTTTTTTAGAGAAAATTAAATACATAGTTATATGCTTTTCAGATGGCAAGAAAAATTGTCATTTTTTCCTGTGCACTATATATTGCTGCATACTAATAATAACTAATTTGACCCAAAGAATTCAGCAGGAGCAAAAGAAATTAAAATACAACACAACAGAATTCCTGGAGCTCCCTGGAGGAAATGCTAAAACTGAAGTCTGTGCAGGTTCAATAATTCTTTAGTAAGAAAGACATAATTGATGAAAAGTTCCTAAGCATTCAATTGTCCAACTAAACACCTGACTCTTGGGCTTTTTTTCTGATAAAATCACTACATTTTAAAATTTCAATTTAATGATAGTCATGTTTTCATTAAAAAAATTGAATAAATATCCTTTCTTATTGTTTGCTTCTGGCATGGTAGATAACAGTACTTTCTCATCCAGCTCTTCATCTTGTCCATGTTTAGAGTGTGTTGAGTCAGCTTACAACCTTTCTCAGCTGAGTACAGCAGTTTTCATGTTCAGTTCTGTAGCACAAATTTATTTTCATTCATGCCACCCATTTCTGCACAGTCTCCAACCTGACAGTATCTCATTTCAAATTTGAATATAAAACAAGGTATAAAAGCATGTAAGTGTTGTGGGAACAACCTCAGATAGTATGAAGGACATAGTGCCATTCCTGTATATGTGTCCAGGCTTCTCATCAGCTGTCTTAAGCTGAACCATATTGTTCTAGATAGAAGACACTTGCTTTCCATCCCTAAATTCTTCTCAGGGGCACTGTTGTTAATACAAATATTTTTTTTTTACAGAGTTTTTAAAAAATCCTATTTCTCCAAAATGAAAAAAAAACCCAACAAAAAAAACCAAAAAACTACCTAAAGCATGAACTAAGTAAGCACAGTTTACTTCACCATTAAGATGACCAGACTTATTTATTATTTGGCACATTAAATATTGTTTGCAAACTCTCTCAGTGATGATTGTGTATCTCTTGATATAAGGCTTTCCTACAAATGTAGAGAAATCATGGATGATGTGCACCATATGTCTTGTACCACTGTAAAGTCATTCCCATCCTTTCACTTGCTGTGTGCAGGCTTTGCTACCACCAGGTCACCCTGGGCTGAACAGGACATTTTGTGCCAGTTCTTTTGTGGCTTTTTGATAGGGACCTCAAAGCAAGACTGGTTTTGCTTTCAAGGTGCTTGTTAGGCACAACAGATCATTCTTCTGCCAATGATTTCTTGCCAAAGATGCTGGGGCCCTGCCAGCTGTGCTGTGGGCTGTGTGCTGTAGGCTGACACTTCTGGGTGCCTTTCAACCTCCTGCCTGAGCATACACAGATGTTACTTTAAAAGAATTTAGGCTCTTCCTAAAGTCTTAGATCTGACTACATCTCCAGTGGATTCCTCTTTTCAATACAATTTTTTTCCAGGATAATTGCTTCCATAGCACTGCACTAATTTCATCAGAGCATGCAGAGTTCTTAACAGGGAATTACAGGAAAGATGAGGAGGGCAGTGACAGGACAAGGGGTTATCATTCTAAAGTGAAAGAGGTCATGTTTAGAACTGTTATTGTGAAGAAGTTCTTTACTGTGAGTGTGGTCAGACACTGGCACAGGTTGCCTAGAGAACTTGTGGATGCCCCATCCCTGGTAGTGTTTAAGACCTGGCTGGATGGAGCTT